CCCCAAAACCCCAAAACCCCAAAACCCCAGCTTTTAGCACAGCAGAGAATTATATAATTATTAATAAATGGAAAGTAATCCGCTAGAGTGCAAGGAAGGAATGGAGAGTTATCCAAGGGTAGGAGGAGTTAGTCAGTCACTAATGACCTCTCTATCTCTTGCAATTAAGATCTTGCCATATTTTGGATACTCTGATCAATGAAAGATTTTAATGACACAGCTGAGGTCAGAGTCCAGGCAACTATGGCTTTCTAATGAAGATAAATGGCTCAAGCCTTATACTGATGAACAGGGTATCGAAAAACTTCATATTAAGAGGAAGCACTACAGTATAAACAACTTAGAAGGCTCTCACAGCTCTGAAAAAGTATCTGCAGATTCAGAGTTGTTTAAGTTAAGAGATACCGGTGATTATAAGCTCTATAATATGACTTTCAAATTTACGAAGGAGAATATTGCAGCTCTTGAAACTCTTGCTACTTTCTGAGAAACAATCGATCGAGAGTTTCTTACAGTTAGATTGATCCATATTTGGAGAGATACTAATTTAGTGCCTTATTATGACTTATTACTGAAGATTGTTAAAGCTCTTAATGTAGAAGTTGAAGAGCATAAAATAGAGGAAGCAACATACTTTAAGTTCAAACCTCCTTTAGTTATCAGGGCATCAACTCAGGAAGTTGATGCTACAAAAAATCAGTATGTTTGCGACAAAAATTGGACACATCCAAACCATCCAAAAGAGGTAAATTCAGTAATCAAAATCAATATTGGGAATTTTGAGCCTCCTGAATTGGTAGACTGACTTGAGAAGTTACTTAAGACTATGTCAATGAGTGAACTATTAAAGAAGATTGGACTAAAAAGATTTGAAATACAACTTACTCCAGGCAATTTTGAAAGAGATGAACCCTATCTTCAAAAGTTCTCAGAAATATTAGAGAGACATAAAAACAGTGAAGGCAGTGAAAAATGTGATCTCCCTAAAATCTGCCTTAAGTGGGGTGATCTGTTTAAGAAAAAAGTTCATTCACTAGAACCAGACTTTCTTAGCTGGATATCTACCTTCCAAAATATTTTCAGTACAAAAGGACTAAAAATCGATTATAAAAATGCTGTGAGTAGTTATCAATTCTCCCTAAAATGCAAAATAAGAGGAGACGAAGGATTTATGACTCATAATAATCAGACTATGAAGTTATCCAATGTTTATTCCAAAATCTATTCAGACTTTGCTATTGATCAGGAAAGTATTTGCAACAGAATTTTAGAGTAGATTTTTCAGCAAATTGTAACAAAAATATCTTAGATAGGTTCGCAGAGTTATAGATGCTGCAGACTTCGAGTAGAGATGAATTACTTGTGATAGAATATTGGTTTAATTAGAAGTTTGAGAAACAAAATCTGTGGTTAAAGGTTATTATAGTCTTCCATTAGTGGCACAAAATTTAAGGAAAGTAAGATATTAACATCGAGAGAAGCTCATCTTGAAAAATGTTTAATATTCAGATCAATTGCAAATGAATTTAAAGGATGATTGATTGACAAAACCATCTGCAATGACTTAGAGGAGCATAAATCTTCTTCCGAAGATTTACAAATCTCTGTCCCAGTGGATGAGATTACATCTCTCACCTGAGACTTTTACACCCTCAGTCAAATAGCCTCTGCAGGGTCGATTCAGAAATTGTCAGATTTGGTCTTGAAGATGGATCCTTATGCCCTTGGCCGAGCAGATACTCATGAAATACTGCAAAATTTACCAGAGTCAATAAAAGCTTGAGTCGAGATAGAAGATTGGGAGATTGAAAATGATGAGCAAGAGCAAAGTGATGAGCAAGAACAAAGTGATGAGCAAGCACAAAGTGAAGAGCAAGAACAACACAATCTCACATCTTTCGAAATTTTACAAAGCCTGAGTCTCCAAAAACTAAAAGTAAACTGCGAAATCAGTGGTAAAGATTCAATCTGTAGCTTGATCTCTCTGCTTGAACACCAAACTTCTCTTAGAAAAATTGAAACTAAAATCTGAGTAGCAGGCATTGAGGATGCAGGCAGTATATTTAATGACTTGCTCAGATCTATTTCGAACCCGAGATGCGCAAATATTAAAATCTCAGTTTCAGGAGCAACTACCAAGATTGTTGAGATAGCTAAAGAGTGTGTGAAGAACAACATTACGAAAGATATTGTAATCAATTTGAATCCTCCCCACCAAAAATCTGAGCCAACTGAAAATCTAAGATGTGACAATTCTGAAAGTGTTGACAAAAGTTTGGACGAATTTTCTGAGAAAATTGTAATTTGTGACAAATACAATAAATTAAAGATGAAATTCAAATAAAATTCAACACAAAAATTACGTTTAAAACATAACCATAATACTGTTCTAATCATCGCTCTCTTAGAGAAGAAATTGGAGCAAACTAGTTCAATTAAATTAACATTTAATTTTACTAAAACAGTTTAAGAATTAATATCACTTGAAATAGCAAGATTTTAATCAATTTGTCATTTAAGCAAAAATGAATACTTCAGCTTATAATCTTAAAAGATATCTTGCGTTTAAGACTCTGAATGTTTAAGAAGATTTGTTGATGATCAATTTAGAGAAAGAAAAGCGATGATTGAGCTTATGTTTACTCATTAGCATTTACAAGGGTGACACCTACAAAGAATATCCAAGATAAAGAAAGAAACCTTGAAACATAACTTTAGGAATTGAGGGTATATCTTATGATTATTACTTGAAATAGGCTTTCAATTTATGTAACCGAGCTAGGGGTTTTGGGGTTTTGGGGTTTTGGGGTTTTGGGG